CCCGCTGCGGCACCTCCGGCTGTTCCACCGATGCCAGGCGCCAGAAGACCAACGTTGGGCACCGACCCGGAAGTAGTTCCCCAGGTGCGTGTGTGTAACTTCGCACCGAGGGCGCCCTTCGTGGCGTATCCGGGGAACATCGGAATAGTGGCCAACTGAAGTAATTGAAGTTGTGGAAGGCATGGAACATGTATTAGATGAAGTAAATGAGGACGGTCATCCTGTAATCTAGCGCAATTAATAAATATTACGTAAATATTCCACCGCGAGTGATTGAATTTTGGCCCGAATATTTATACCGACTTTCAGCCTAGACCTAAAAAAGCCTAATTTACAAGGACTGTGTCCAAATTAGCGATTAGTCTTGAAGCAAATCAAAGAGGGCTACGACTTCCAAATTAAGGTATAGTCCAGTTAGCACATAGGGATTGCTGGGAGGGGGTGGGGAGTCCGCTGATAATCCGCTCCGCATGCAGCGGCCTCATGAGATAGAAGAATATCGAAGAAACACGTGTCTGGGCTTTTAGCTAGTAGTTGTACCCTGAAATGTGGTATATTATATAAAAAAACATTTTCAGGCATTTTGGATATTTAACTAACTGGAAAAACTATAACGGTTCGGAAGGCTCATTCATAAAGAAATTCAATACTGAAAATAGGCCGAAGGGGGAAGTCTTTACCTTCCGATTAACATGTCTACTGATTAGCATATATAACCTATTTGAATATGCGAAAATTATATTCACAGAGCCACAATTTGTATGAACATAAAATGCACAAGTGCGTCTTACAACTGCCGCGACTAAGCTAAAGTTCATGAACTCTGTGTTCCTTGAATTAGTTGTTGGCACTCAAGCAAAAGAAAACTGCAAATCCAATTTTTCAGTTTTCGAACAGAGAAGGCATGCAAATGTAAACAAGGCCGTGTAACCAGACTGTCTGGTTTAGGGGATTTTAAAAGCATATCCAATATTTTGAAGGGTGGCTGCAAGTGACAAATATGAGGTCGCATTTTGACTAAATAATGCGAGCGACGACTCCCTTCGTTGACAGCAACCTCACATGCCAATTGCAAGGCCTTTTCGCCCAGGTTGAGGATAAATCCAACTTTATTTTGTAATTTACCATACTGACAGAACAGGTGCTAGTTCAAAGCCCAGATACCTGTTTCGCAGGTATTCTGCCGCTGCTTGACACAGTTATGAGGGGTCGGGCTTATCAGTGGACTCCCAGTTTGTTTGCTTTCTGGTCGATATGCCGGTACTGAAGTTTTGGCTTTTGAATTTTATAAGGAATGAATTTTCGAGCTCGACGTGGATCAGTTTATTAAAGGCCTCCAGATCCTATGCACATCAAGTGTCGGTCCATGCCTATAGATTTTGAATAAACTGCGCTATGCGGACGTCAGAAATTAATTCCTAAGGAAATTAAAACAAAGCTGATAATGCGTCCTGTCAGCGTCGGTTATCTCAAAAACAAAGAAAACCTACAGAAACGTGAGTAGGCAAGGTTTCCAGCCGAAAGCTTATAAAATAACGATTTGTTCCGAGAGAAGATCAAATTTGAGGAAAAAGCTATAAGCTTGATTTAACGCGAGTTAGATGAACTACTCTGCATGAACTATCGAACAAAAGCGAACTCCTGGCGGTTCATTTATAGTCGTAAATTTCAGAAATCTCGCCATTTAACTGCTAGACCAGTCTTACGAGCAAAACCTCTTCCTATGATGACTCTGTTTTAAATCAACTTAACCATTTGCGTAGCAGTTTAAATTCCACTGAGCTCTGAGAGTGATTAGTTAAGGCCTCCTTTAAAACAAGTAGAAGATAGGCACCATATCAGGAACGCCTACAATTCAGGTAAAGAGACATCCCGTGCATAAGAAACAGGATAGGAAAGCACAAGAAGAGCAGAACCTATTTAAAGAGGCTTATCTATTCCCTGATATAAAGACCTCTCATATAAAATGATTCAAACTAGAGACTTAAAAAGTGCTTGTTTCTAGTAGGTAGACATTTGGCTACTTACGCTTAAAGCATATGTGTCGAGAACTTGTATTTCTTCCTCTGGGATGTGCTTCACTATACCGATGACCTACGAAATGATTTTTCTCGGATTCGCAGTTGACTTATTTGGACTGCCTCCTGGCAAAGGCAACTTACCACTGATCTATCTTGTTCCGTCAGGTGGTCCTCATGACCATGGACTAGCTTGATGAGAGCAGCAATCTTCAGGTTGGCGTCTTGATTTGCACGACGCAGTTTCTCCAACTCCGGAATATAGCCCTGGAACTGGTAGAACGAAAAAAGGGATATCAATTGTAATAAAGGCACCGTCGAGCTTACATTAGTATAGCTTTTAATCGGTGCACTATGGGAATCCATTCTCATGACCCGCGGGGGCAGTTTTCATAATGGTATATGTGACGCTCTTGAAAAGCCACGAGTTAGAAGGTAGCAACTGACTGGAACGCTCAGTATTTCTCAGGACTGACAGTCAAGCTGTAATGGCTCATTTTTCAGGGGGCATTTATGGCCCTCTCATGCATGCGAGATCCGCAGCTCTCTCATGAAAGCTCGGTTTTGATTGGAATGCAGAGGACTGGCTGTCAGCCCCGGACTTCGCGTCTTCAGAGCAGGGTTCGTGAGATAGGAGTGAATGCGGTTGATGCAGAGCAACTTTGTTTATCTGATGACAGTGGTTCACTCCATGCAGGTGCTCTTTCTCCTCTGGCCGGCGTCGACTCCAGATGGCGACCACCTGTCGACCCCGTCCCTAATGGCATGTCTAAACTCCGTGCACGTGGCTGTGGTTTTTTTAAGTTCACGTACTCCACCCATGAACAAAACTCACAGCCTATCCTATTCCCCCCCCCTGCCCTTAGTCCAATGCTCTCTCCCTGCCGCTCTCGGCATGTGGGCGGAGTGAAAACGATGAGTTTTAATGAGAAGACAGTTCAACTCGTTGATGAATGTTCACCGATCGCTAACGTACCTCGCTCGTCCCGCTCTGCCACCGGACTCATTCTAGAACCTCGCTAGCAGCCACAGAGCAGCTTCTATTCTAGATGTAATGCTCTACACGTAAGGCATTTTTAAATCTGGTCCCTTGCCCATATTCTCATTATCAATGCAGTTTTATAGCTCTGATGATGAATTGACGCAGACAAATGTTTGCCAGTCAGACTTTTCAAGTTAAACATGGGAATATTGGCAGAACTTAAAGCCACCTCACCCTAAACTAATCTACGTGTAAGTTATTCGTCTGCTTCCACTCTGCGTGGAACTCAGTGCACTTCGCCTTTTGCGACAATCGAAATTTGATCGGGCGCTTGCTGGTGATTGCGGTTTGATGGGCTGGCTTAAGTGAACTTGAAAAATCCTCACAAAATGTCTTGTATGACTTAATCCCAAACCTGATGGTACATACAACATAACTGTTCAACTTTCGATTTTTACGAGGTTCACCATGTGTCGCCCATCACATGCGTCATTTTGCTTATGGTGATTGCAGACTTTAGCTGCGTCTACCGTACTCTCTCCTCCTATCCCATCTGGGCCCAGTGTCAGGACGAAGTCGAGAAGACCGGAGGCGAGACACGGGGCAGGTGGCTGGCAGGGGAAGAACTCGTACTTCAGCCTGCCACCACAACAGCGTGGATTTTGCTGAGTGAGAGGACCATGCAGGCGACATTATCAAGGACATGAGTTCACCTGTCGGCTACTCTGCAAAACCACATTCAGGACTAACTGTGAGGTCCGGGTTAGTCCATCAGTTGACTACCTTCAAAGCCAATGGCTTTTAACGCAAAGTCATAGGTTTAAGCGCAACAGATTATTTATAATGAGATAAATGTGTTGAGATAGTCGAGTACACTCACTGTTCGCATTCCTAGCAACAGTCCACGGTCAGCTGTCTGTTGCAGGAACTGGGCATAGGGGCTGACAGAACTAATGATCCTGCCTGTACATGCTACATACAGGACCTTAGCATTTACTCAGACATAACAGAATTCCATTCTATACGGGAAATACTGCGTCCTCGAGAACACACATAGCTGGATTAGCATTAGTTATACTTTTGAAAGTATTTATCCGTCTCGCATGCGCGAAACTGTTACCTTCAATGGAGAAGACAAGGGGACGACACACAACAGGAATTATAACTGCTGACATTGGACTGTGTCCAATACAACCGACGCCTATAGAAATTAGTTTAACCAAACATGCGTGCTACCACGAAATGAGTAGCTAGTCGTGAAACGTAAATGAGGCTCTTATGTTACTTATAAGCTATTTTTACCGAGATTACGCATGAAGATGAGGTGGGCATATCAGACACGAACAACCACTTTGTTTTGCACAGACGTACCCAATTCTTTTGAAAGGGCAGTTCGCAAACGTAAGAAAACGCAAACAAAGTATAGTTAGACTAATTAAACATTTCACCGTGGACAAACGAAGGCGAATCTACAGTGCTCACACAAAACCGCAGATTTATTTAACAGGACGAGTACAGTCAGAGTACATACGCAGTCTGATTCAAGATTCTTCAGTTGACTTTCTCGATCGCGAAGCTCCTCTTGTTGATTTGCAAGTTGGGCCGACAAATTGTTTCTTTCTCTCTGTAGATGCTCGACGTTTGACCGCAATTCACGAATCTAGCGGGAAATGAACAAGGGAAGGAAACCAAGTGAGCTCCACACATTCAGAGTTAAGGATGCGTCATTGATAAAAACCATCAGGATCGTGCAGACACAAAGCTCTGAGGGGATCGGATAACTTGGGTCACATAGAGTTTGGGTCCGGAATCATGCAAAATGCCGAAAGGTGCTAAATATTGATAATCGCTCGAAAACCGGCATTATGTAGAGTTGTAGTACAGCCAACTCTCAAGAAATTTCAGCCACGCCAAGATGCCGGCTTTTTAACGAGCTTCTTTCTAACTGCCTCCAAAAAAATAACCTTTAACAAATAGCTACTTATGTAGTACATATTGCTCTCATTGTTTTTCAATGCGCTCGTAATTTCGACTATATTTTATAGAAAATATGAACGAAAAAAATATTTCTTGTACTTGTTTGTTAACATATCACGTCTTCAAATTTTTGTACTCGAAGAAAGGGTATATTTCGGTTTCGTAGAGTGTCTAATCATGAGACTTTTTACGAATGTGAAATGTTCATTAAGATCATATCTCATCCATCAATTTATTAGCGTTGCCTATAAAGCATACAGCACGGTCCACACGGTCCACAGTAAGCTGACTGGCCAGGCAGGATTTCCGAAACAATTATCTAGAATCAAATCTGCCAAACCCTCCTAAGAATAAAGTCAGCCTAATAGTCATTCTGGTGGATTCTAGATGATTGTTTAGGAAATCCTGTCTGGGCAGTCAGCTTGCTGTATCTACAATATTGGATTCCACACGAGCAGTAGGTTGGGCGGGTAAATCGAGCCACGTGTGATAAAATTAACGGCTCTTAACTCAATGGTAGAGCGTTTTCCGCGTAAAAACACTAGACTGGTTTTCAGACCTGCAGAGCTGAGACAAAACGCAAAGAACCGTTTCCGCGAGACAATCAAAATAGATCCATGTACGAAATTCCTTTGAAACTGGATAGTCCACATCTCGGGCAACATGAGACTAGACCGCAGTATAGGCAGGGGGTAAAGTGTTCGTTCGTAATCGTCTGACTGGCCTTCAGAGTTCTAAATCGTCCACGCTTGGGTGCTTGGTATGGCCGGCTGGTAAAGGCAACTTGACTTAAAACAACCATTCCAACGTTCGCAGTCTTCATCGATAACGCTTCTCGGGTGAATTCGACGTCTCGTCAGCACGCGGGCTAGTTAACATTGTCAGCAACCAAACAACCAAAATTAGTTTGCATCCTTTTTTCCTGCCTATACTTCCTAGTATTCGCGAAGACAGCGAAAGAAGTCAATTTCTAACAAGGGGTCCCTTTGAAAACTATCTATAAATGTTAATACTGCGGGGTAGTGTCATTGGGAAACTTTGTTGCTGATGGTTTATAGACGGTCTAGCGCCCCTCGCACGGCCGTTAAACCTGAGGTTACATATTTTCCCTTAACCTTATCCAGCCAAAATAAGTTCCTCAACGTCCGCAAACACGTCGAAATTAAGACCGTGGAAGTTTGCGTAACCATTCTAAATACTTTCCATTCAACTTTACAAAGCTTACGACACCTATTCTCTTCTATAACCCAATTATCAAGTGCAGAATTCGAGTTAATTAGTAAAGGCAGTTTTTTGTTTGCTCCTTGTAGTATTTTTGGCAGTTAGGTTACTCAATCCTCTCAAAAATGGAATCAGAGCGGCGAGGGCACAGTGAATAGTAGGGGACCCACCTGTTGTTCCAGTTGGCGAGTCGAATCCTCTCTACTCGCTACATGTGCTTCTCTTTCGGCAGTGAGGCGAACGCTCTCCCGTAGGGCCTGTTCAAGCTCTCGAATGCGAACCTCCTTCTCTGACATCATATTCTTGAAGCAAATTTAAAAAATAGGAAAGTTTATATGCGCAGACGGTAAGGTACTCATTAGAACGAAAATCATTTTTAACCACGTTTGACATGCTTTATAATTTACCTAGAGATTAAATGCTAGCTTGTACTTAATCAGTTTGAACTAAGCTGCGAACCGAAAGGTGATAGGAATAAACAGACCAACACCTACCAGCCCCAGCGAGATCACCGTAAAATATTTATTGAACTGCCAACTATTACCTCGGTTTTAACAAATTGGTAAAGGCACTGATTTGATGAAGTACATCTGTAACGTTTCTAAATAACTTACCTCTCAGTTTACGTAGGAATCTCCTAAATGCGCGTAGTTCTATTTCTTTTTCTGGTATAACAATGATCTGCTCCTATACCTCCGCGCAGTTCAGAGAACTGAAGACTATGTTTCAGCCTGGTGTTGAAATAAGGTGTAGTGTAAACGCATTACGTGTCCTATACATGTGGCCTAGATTTATATATATATGTCTGACGGCGGAAAATATGAATTGGTCGCGGTTTCACAAATTAATGTACTCACTGAGTGTGTCGGTGCGATTCGAAACTAATTCGCTGCCATCGTAGAGAACTAGGCTGTTAAGGACGGTAGCATCGTCGATTGTCTGATAAAAAGCCATGCCTTCTACTTCCAATCGGCTGTAAACGACAAGGCATTCAATTATCTATACCTTAAGTTAATTTGTTTCATCCATTCGAGAACACAAATCCGAGCGGTAGAGGAATGGGTAAAAGTATATGAAAAAATTAAATAAGCAGCAAGACAATTACTTTGGTTTACTATTTCAAAATAATCTGTTTAACCTCAGCTCTAGCCACATGCCAAAATAATAATAACAATAATAATAATAAGATGATGATGGTGATGATGATGATGATAATGATGATGATGGAAGTGTCATCGTAAAACTCACCTTTAGAACTTCAGCGTCAGATTGAATATTGTCTGCTCGTTGACGAGCTTCGTCCAAGAATTGTGCGTTCTTCTTTCGATCCATCTGCTGCGCCCTCTTCAAGCTGCTAATCTGATTTTGGGCGTCGTGAAGTTGCCTGGGAGTAATAGAGCGGAACAGAATTAAATTCCAGTTTTAGTCAAAATTTCCTTCATAAATACTGAACTTGTCTTTTTAGTTGCGGCGAAGGTATTAACTCGCAAAATGCATGAAGAACAGATTTTAGAACTGAGCAAGTGCTACGGATATCTAACAGAAACTAACTTCTGGCCGTACTCTCCTATTCGCTACCACGCTGCTCAACCAGGTTACGTGCTCTAGCTATTCGACTTCCAGGCACATTCAGTACAAAGACAGATATATTCTGTTGAAGTGGGACCGACAAAGACAAGGGAAAGCGGAAAGGCCATTTCTGGCTTATTCATCAGTCATACCCAATACTAGGGGTGGTAACCAGTGAGGTTTAGTCATTTAGTGCAACGCTCTACTATTGCACCACGAGGTCGTTGCTTTCTTCGGTTGCGATCGGGAAGATGATGATAGAACAGTGTTCGCCGATCTTTTTATTTAATATGTTCGTCTTGTTGTGTCCTGGAGATCACTAAGGAGTCCCCACAGGTGGTCGCATAGCGACTCTT